AATTGGACTCTGGGGAAGGATCTGGTCAGCTGCTTCCAGGAGACGGAGCAGCACAAATGACCTAAGTTCCTGGAGCCGTCTGGGAGCTGCCCCTTGCCGACAGTTCGCTACCCAGTGTGCAGCCTGCTGGCAGTGCCACAGGCTTAAGAACCACTTGCCTTCCACTTGCTCTCTGACTTCCCAAGGTACAGTTTCTACTCAGGAATGGTCCCACCTCCTTGAAAGATCAAGTTGCCTTTAACAAGTTGGGATTTCACCTCAGAGGACTTAGATTTATTCACCTTCCTGGGTGTGATGTCAGTTCCAATGTTCCTTCTTGCCATGAATTATCCCTTAACTGGCTCCATTTCCTCCAAAATTAACTAAAGTATGAGGTAAAGACAGAGTACCTGGAGAGCACGGGTGTTAGCTAAAATTTAATTGTCATTTGTAAGCCTGATATTCTTTTTCAGCATCCTGACTTAAATGGTGCTTGAAATGTAATCATGGCTAAGAATGTCATTTTATAAGTGCCCTCTGCAGTCTGACTTAAAGGTGTTAAGGCCCTCAGTCTTGCTTTGTTATCTCTGGCACAGACTTCTTTATACTTATTTTATGGGACTAGTTCTTAACATGTTTGCAGACACTTTGGCTCAATTTTCATCTGTGTGCCCATCAGATCAATTCCAAGCATCTGTCAGACTGCTTGATTATCTCCCCAAAATGACAGTGAGTCATAATTTTCCACAAAGATAAAATTTCTGTCTCTGTCAGGAAACAAAGGTAGGCTACTTCCAAACAGCAGCATTTAACAGTCACATGGTTCCTATAACTCACTTTTGCTATCTTTAAATATGGTATCTGGGTAAAATGCAAAGGTTTATAATTAAAATAAATAAATAAAAAGGAAGGAGGGTAAACCTTCTTACATTTGTTGTTGTTGTTGTTATGTGCCGTCGAGTCGGCCCTGACTCATAGCGACCCCTCCTTGGGTTTCCGAGGCAGTATCACTACGGAAGTAGGATTGCCCAACCTTCCTTCCGAGGAGTGGCTGGTGGGTTTGAACCGCCAGCCTTCTGGTTAGCAGTCAAGTGCTTTAGCCACTATGCTACCAGAGCTTCTTACATTTAGGGGAATAATATTCAATTTTCAGTTAAGAACAGAGTTTATCTACCTTTCTGATGAAAAGAAAAAGGTATATTTTTAAAATATTGTGTTATTTGTTAATGGTTGCATATATGTAGCAAAAACTCCAGCAGACATCATATGCCAAGAATGCTGCTGTGATTTTAAGGTGCATGATCTTGTTTTTTTATTTTTGAAAAAAAGTTGCCCATGGACTCACAGGGCATGTGAATTTGCAATATCTATCATCACCTCACTAGATTCATAAAATTGTTCCTGTTCCTCTTGCAAGTCTCAAAACAACATCACAGTGGGAATGTAATCAACCGTAACAGTCATATTTACAATACACAATTCAACTGTAATGAGACACATAAGAATTCTTTATTACCAAGTTGTTTTCCTGAGACATTTCTGTCTTCCTATCAATCTGAAAAATAGCATACAAGGGTAAGCATACTGTTAGCAGCACATTTCAAATGAAAAAATAATCTATCCAAAACAATGTTAATTTCCACTAAAGGATAATAAATAGAATATGAAAGATAGCATATGTGTATATATAAGATGGATTTATGATCACATTTTGATATTGAATAAGAAAATTTTCATGTTTGTATAGAATTGCTCCCCAGCAGCAAAGGTCAATATATAGAAGCATTAAAGTCCCTTGTTTCAGAGCCCATCATAGGTGAGTACCCAGGGTGCTGCTGCGAAGCTGTTTCAAACCCGATTCCTTTGCATTGCCTCTCCAGTTGATTTCTGTGCTCATGAATTTACACCATAAAAAAAGTAAAAGGCAAACAATAAAAATAGCTTAAAACGGAATTTCTCCTGCCTTCAGACAGAAGCCAAAGCCATTTTTAAAGGAATCCAGCAAACTTACTGTGCACTGTCCCTTCCTATTTCAAAAAAAGAAACAGATAGTAACAGCTTTCAATTCAGCAAATCAATGAAAGGGATGTGTGTCCTGTGCATGTTAATACTGATAGAAATGACTAAGCAATATTAAAATATAAATGGTGATTAACTGATGATATTGCTGAAATTGCATGTAACCAGCTAGACCTGTATTTGTTTTTAAGCATCAAAATTCATAACATACAGTGAGTTTTAGATGGTAACTACAGGAAGACCTTAACTCCCAATCAGTTATATCATTTGGGTAAAGTTCCTAACAGTGATTCTTCATTACATTCAGCCTTAGAATGTCTAAACAGACTCTGTCCATACTGCCCAATGCCACACCAGTGTCCACATTAAACCCAAGCAGCATTTCTTTCTGAGGTTTCTGAAATTCAAACCTGAGCACTGAGCACAGTGACCATGTTATTACTCACTGAATGTCTCCAAGTAAAGATTACACACGTGGAAGAAGGCAATTTTAACAACCAGCAAGCAAATATCTGTGCTGCCATTACTTCCCTGAGAGTGGAACATTTTGCTTTTAAAAAGCAACTTAAGGTTTCAAGTACATATATTCAGATATATGGATCAAAACAGAATTAACTGAAGCATTTGTGCATCAAAAGTGATCTGAAAAGTCTGATTGATATTCTGTACCATGTAAATATTCAGTCATTGGGAATTAGATGAGTTCACAGGGGTTTCATCGCACAACAAATAATTAAAAATTTGTTAGTTGTTGTTGTTATGTGCCGTCAAGTCAGCCCTGACTCATAGCGACCCCTCCTTGGGTTTCTGAGGCAGTATCACTATGGAAGTAGGATTGCCCAACCTTCCTTCCGAGGAGGGGCTGGTGGGTTTGAAATTAAAAATTACACAAGAGAAAAAAAATGAAATGCAATAAATAAAGGATTTTGAGGCCTTTTAAGCTCAAATAACTTCTGTGCACTAGAAAACAGTTCAGAGAGTCAAAACAAAATGTTGATTCTTGTCGTCTTATGAGGGGATGCTCCTTGTTTGAAAGTTAGAGAGTAAGTGCTTCTGAAAAGCTTACTTTATGTTGGGATGCAACTTGATGCACAAAATGGTGACCGTAGGAAAGCCTTACTTTCTCTTGTAGATTTGGTCATGCACTGGGAGAATGCTGATAAAGTGATTGTGTTAGTTTAATGAAGAATCCAAATAGCCGATTTTATTTAGATTTCTTTTTATCAGAATATTCTGATTAAAAAAATTCTCTATTTTATCAGAACAATGTCATTTATCATTATAGGGCTGATGGCCTTGAAGCTGTGGCTGAAAAGGAAATTTATTTGCCTAATTATGCTCCTTCTGACTGACTTCTAGCATATTAAATGCCAACTGCAAGGCTTCTAAGAGTCAGATAGGACATTTTGCCTCTTTTCTGGTTCAGAAACATAACTGTATGCATTTAAAAATACCTTTTCTTTTCTTACCAACATGTGACCTCTGAGCACTATTCTTTTCTAATATTTGTTCAATATATGTTGCTACTTGAAAAAGGACTTTAGTGCCCAGTTTTTCACCTAATAATTTGTTCTGTTTGGAAAGTTCAGAGTACGATCATAATTAGAATGTGTGCCCCTCTAGGCCTGTGTATTCTGCATGATGAAGAAATGTGCATTAAAAGTACATAGAATGATATTGCAGGCTCAGGTTAAGTTGGTATAGCAGTAAAATTTTGCCTGAGCAAATCAATAAAATCATAGCTTTTTGATTTTGCATGTGAATCTCATATCTGCATGGAATAAAAATTGGTTCAAAAACTGAAACTTAAGTTTTTCCTTATCCTATTTGATCTTACAGTGTATTTGTAACAACTAATTTGTTTTAAAGACAAAGAAAGGTTCATTGGCAGTCTTTGAAGGTATTAGTGCAAAGTTAATTTGAAAAACATACCAATTTTTAAAATAGTGCAAATTTTTCATTCAGAGATTTTTCCTACTATACTAAAGGCTGTGTTTCAACCAGTCAATATATTGAGCTAGATTCTATTCCAACCATGCTAACAATGTATCAATGTAAATAAAGATGATGAAATGCAGGGAAAAGTAAAACCATAACCTCAGCTTCCAGATTACTAATTAGTTAGAAGGAAAATTGTTCTTTAAGTAGTTAGCAACACAGTCTGATTTGGCAGCAAGGGCATTTCTTGGCATTACACCAGAAGCCAGTTGAAGAAGGAATTTTAGCCTAATAAGCCTAACAGCAAATTACCATTATAAATTCTCCCTACATCATAATGGGACACTGTCTGGCATTCTGGTTTCTCTTTCTTAGGGCTCTTTCAATGAATAAAGAAGGAATTTATACTTTATTACATAACTTATGTTCATTTCACATTCCCAAATGATAAAAATGTTAAAACAATGCAGGTAATTTTAGTAAGGAGGGACTTAGGATAAGAAATATTGCATCTCTTTCATAGATTCTATGAACTCTTCAAAGTGCTCTATAAACACTATTAATGTTTGATTAGCAGCAAAGCAGTAGCCTAATCAAAATTTCCCTCTGCCATATATGTATGTGCATATACATACAATGTTCATCAATGTATTCTATTAGTCTCACCTAAATCTGACCATTAGACAGTCATTCCCAGAGGCTGTGCAAGGTTACAAATACTGTCTGTGCTGTATCACGGTTCAAGACTACTAGCACCCAAGTGGTTAAGAGAGCCAATGCCTTCATTTAAAACAAGAAGAAAAAGAAGAAGAAGAAGATCTATTGCATATGTTAAATTTCTTTTTAAGATTTTAAAAAAAATGGGGGATACAGTGAGTTACCCAATATTCTATTCTGGGTCCTTTAATTTTCTTTACCTAAAGCTATTTTTTATACATAGAAGGCTAGATGTCTTTAAACATAGTTTCAGCAATCCTGAGTATATTCTTTTGAAAATATGATGGTTTGGGCTTTTTTTTTTTTTTTTTGCATAACTTGGAAGAAAGTTCTGAGGAGTGGGTTTTCCTCCCAGAGAAGAATTCTGCAGCATCTTCTCCCAGGAGCACACCGAGAGCCTTGTCATCAGGTATATAACGTGCCCTGGGAATGGAGGCTCCGGGCACTGCAGCCATCACAGAGCCTATCACATCAGAAACCCTGACCGGGGTCCTGCAGGCACTGCAGCATCTTGGTCTTTCCCCTTCCACACTCTTCTAGCAGCACCTGAACCTTTGGGCATCCTGCAGGAGTGGCTGAAGTCCGTAGCTTAACTTCACTAGGAAAAAAACAAGTCCGTTCAAATGCAGCATCTTCATCTTTTGGCCGGGTGGTTCTTGGTCCCCCATGGATAGGAGTGATACCTAGAGGATTCAGAAGTAGAAAGAATTCCCTGTTGTCACAATGTTTTAGTTCACACATTCAATTTCAAAAGCTGTAGCTCAAGTATATGAATAACAAACAACAATGAATAATAATAATAATAATAATAAAAAGATTCTAAACATAACAGGATATTTTTACAAAACTGCCTTTTACTATAGTTCAGTGCCAACAGGGTCTTTCTTAAATTATGAACTGAACAGAAACTAATACTCCTTTATGGTGGGAAAATAATACTCATTCAAAGTAGCTTGCAAATTTAAATGCCTCTCTCTCTCTATATATATATATATTAAAATATCTATTTTATATAATCATTATTCATTTAAGGAGCCCTAGTGGCACACTGGCTAAGCACTTAGCTGTTAACCCAAAGGCCAGTGGTTCAAACCTACCAGGGGCTCTGCAGGAGAAAAAACCTGGTGATCTGTTCCTGTAGATTATAGCCTGGGAACTCTATGGGGGCACTTCTACTCTGTCACACATGGTAACTGTAGTTGGAAGTTACTCCACAGCACACTATAGCATTTGATTCAAATTTCTTTTTATCTTGTATATTGTTAGTTGTTGACATATATTTCAACATTATAAAATAAAATATTAATGTGAAGATGATATGTTCATCATCTATTCAGTCAGATGGAGTTCAATGTTATTCTCAAAACAGCAATGATAAAATTAAGACATGTCAGTCTTTATCCTTCTGGTAAGGCAGCTAAATGTTTATGTATATATCATATAATTACTAATCATAAACCAAAACCAAACCAATTGTTGGTGAGTCAATTAGGTCTCATAGGGGTCCCAATCAACCTTGTAATCAAGAACAGAGCCCACTTTGGGAACGCTTATGAGGCTGCTTAGGTGTGTTTGCCCTTCTTTCATCTTATTTGCATTACTTTCCTCCTCTCAACCCAGCCAGCCCTACCTCCTCTTCCCAGAAGCCCAGAAATAAGGGAGCTCCCATTTTGGTCAGTGTTTTTTGGTGCTATTTCTGTTTCTGTCACTATTTTCTTTTCCTAATCAGCATTTTATGCCTGGGACATTCATCCTAATCAATTTTCAAAGTAGTCTCCCCCATTATTTCAACAGTTCCAGAAATCTTCCCCAAAGACAAAGAATAGCTAGCTAGATAATGGCTTTATTCTAAGACTTTCATTCTGAAAATGGCACTTGTCTATGCTCTTCCCTTACTAAACACAGATGACACGTTCTAAGCTGAAAATGTGCCATATCTTGGATTACTGCTTTAGTTGCAGCCTGGATGCTTTGGAGATGTATGCACAGGTTTGAACTGACAGTCTCAGGTTGTCAACTTGTATAATACAGGAATTATGTGTGGAATTCTCCGTACATAGTGCTTTATCAAGATCCTTTAATAAGGTTTGGTAATGATGACGCCAATGACAATTACAATGATGAGGGTGACAATGAAAACAATAGCAGATCTGCTAAAGTCTGGTAACTAAAACCAAAAACCAAACTCACTCTTGTAGAGTTGGATCCAATTCATAGTGACTGCTCCTTGGGTTTCTGAGGCGGTGTCACTACAGAAGTAGATCACCCTATCTATCTTCCTTCTGAGGAGTAGCTGGTGAGTTTGAACCACCAGCCTCCTGGTTAGCAGTCAAATGCCTTAGGTACTATCCTACCAGAGCTCCCCTAAAGCCTGGTGGAGGAGTTAAAATATATTTCCTACTTCTAACCATATAGCTAGGGCAGCTTTTCTCAACTGGTGTTCCATGGAAAAAAATGGCAAATCCCTGAAGAAAAAACAATCAACAGATTTCTTTCATGTAGAATACCTGAGTCCTTAATGCTAATCACGTTGGGAATCCCCCAAAATGACAAACTGTTCAGTGTTTTCCAAATCTATTTGGTCATGAGGTTTTTTTTTTTTTTTTTTTTCAGGGAACATCTATTAACATCTCTGATAATACTGGTCATTCCATGGAACCTATTTGAGGAAATACACTCTTGATTCTAAATACTACCCCTCCAAGTCCCATGACATCCACTGATCTCCATCCTTTGACTATGGAAAATCATGAGAGTAACAGCTGACCTGATTTGTATTAGTAATTAGGTGTTTCCAGTTTGGGGTCTACTGGGTACTTCTAAGTGTTATTTCTCAGGCAATAACTTGGAATAGTAAATAAGTAATGGCTTTAGATACCGTCAAGGGTTATTTTTATTGGTAAACTGGGAAAGTCTTTCTCCCATGATTTATACTCTCACTGTTATTAGAAGCTAAAGTCATGGGTATGTGCATTTTTAAATAGGTGATTCATTTTTAATTTGGAGGATTTGAAGAAAATTGGATGTGATAGCTAACTTATGTTGCTTAAATTTGACTGTTTAAATCATGCCTTCTTATTCTATTCACAATTCCAAATATAACTATAAACAATTTTGTATCATCTTTATCATGCATCTGATTTATCTGTTTATCAAAATAAGAAAATTTTAAAATGTCTTTTAATAAAGGAATTATGTGTTTGGAAATAGAACTAATATTTGATTTAAAAAAAATTAATGCTGGTAGAATAGTAAAAGGATAACAATTACAAAGAATGACTGAAATAATTACTTTAAAAAGGGGGGAAGGCAGAAGAGCTCTTGCAGAGCTCCCCTGAGTTCTCTGTACAGCTGGTTTCCCATTGATATTTACTTGATTTTCAGCAAAAAATATAAAGCCAGGCATTGCCCATGAACGTGAGTCTCGTAGGAAATGCTGAAAAATTAAAAGAATGATCTCTGCTCCCAGTACAAGCCAAGGGAATTTGAAATAATCAGATGTTGAGAGTCAAGAACATAGACATTCATACTGTGCATGGAAGGCTGGATGGATGCAGCCTTGAGTAGAAAATTAAAATTTAAAATCTCTGAAGGGATAGTAGGAGGAGAGCAGTTGTGGAGATGGTAATTTCTATTAATGATATATACCTTCGGAAAAGGAGAATTACTCATCATTTCTCTGCAGTTACAAATCACAACAGAACTAAATTTATAGAGGTAGTATTTTGGAAATATATTATCCAGCTAAAAGAGCAAGCAGTTGAATAATCCTTTGTGTGATTCATAAGAACCACCTGTTGAAACAGGAGGAGAAGAAAAATTGTTAAGAAAGTGAACTAACCTCAAAAAAGAATCTCATTTCCATATAATGACTGAAACAGGCTGTTTTTGAGACCTCTTTCCCTTTCCAAGGCTAGTAGCCATCTTCAGGAAATCATTTACATAATGGTCATGAGCTGGCTTTGCTAGTTGGAAAAAGAGTCAGTTTCTCCAGGCATACAAGGCTACTTTGGATGAACATACTCCAGTGGCGTGTGCTTCCTAAGACAACCCTAAGCCGTACAGGAGGAGACTGTGTATGTGGATGCTTAAGATCAGCTTGATGATTCAGTTATGAGTGGGATCCTTGGAAAAGTCAATTTGCATGCAGTAGGCACGGTTGGTGCCTATATCCTCTCACCCTTACCAGCTCAAGGCATCCAGGCCTGACATCCAACTGCCAGCACCTGTATTTCTTTTCCTGAGGACTTCATCTACTCTCTAGAGACTGCCTTGTCGACCTTTACAGCAGGCCAGAAACACCAGGAAATGAACACCCCCCTGAGAGCAGGCCTCAAACAGTCACTGACAAACATTGGAGGATAAATATTGCAGCTCCCTTCCTTCCTCCCCGAGAAGGAGAACTCTGAGGTACATGTTTCACACTAGCTCTCTCTCAGATTTCCCGAATGGGATCAAGCTTCAGTTGCCCACAATGGTAACTTACTTGATGTTGCTGTGTGCCATTGAGTCAATTCCAACTCACAGTAACCATAAGACAGAGCATAACTGAGCCATAGGGTTTCCTAGACTGTATGTAGCCTTTATAGGAATAGATCATCAGGTCTTTTCTCCTGTGAAACAGCTGGTGTGTTCAAACCACTGGGCAGCTATGTGCTTAACTATGTTGCCACTCCACTGCCATCAAGTTGATTATAACTCATTGCAACCCCCATTGGGTTTCCAAGGTGATAAATCTTTACAGAAGTAGATGGCCCCACCTTACTTCTCTGGAGCAGCTGGTGGGTTTGAACTGCCAACGTTCTGGCTAGCAGTCAAATGCCTTAGGCACCGTGCCACCAGAGCTCCTTGTGGTGCCACTAGGACTCCTTTTAACTTGCTTAATACTGAACTCTTTATTGAATTACTTCCTCACTCCCCTACCAATACTTGCAGGAATAACTCCAGATAAATTCATTCTACTGGAATCCTTGTGCCCAACAATGTACCCAATAGGAATAATTACAAAATTCCAGAGTTGAGTGAAATTGATAAAACAGAGTATAATTTTAGAACACCAATAATGATTATATTACAGGATAATATACCACCCCAGGGAACCAAGGTTTCTTACTTAAGGTAAGCAAGTGGCAACACATAAAAGCAAAGTTCCATTCACACAGACACATTTTAATTCACCAGAAATGTTTCTTTGTTTGGACACATCTTTCTTTTTCCTCCCTTAACATTCCACAAAAATAGTAGATCAATTTCAGCACTGGAAACCTGAGTTTCCAGCTCTTCTAGAATGGTACAAATGTTTACTATTAAAAAAAAAAAAATCATGGATTATTTGTCATTCAATTTTCTTCATTATTTTTTGTGACAGTCAAGTAGTACTAAGTGATCACCCTTTCTGTTTCAAGAGAGAGCAGTGGTATCCACACAAATGATGGACAGCATATATCTCACCTATTATTGTGTCTAGTCTAAGTACACATATTTTAAAAAATTGTTTAAAATAAAATTGAAAAAAAGAAACCAATAAAACAAAACTCTGGAATGAAGGATAAAGAAATCAGATCTTATATTCAATTATCTCATTCATCTTTCACAATTGAAAGCAAACTCTGGGTTTCACCTGTTAGAAGTAAAATTGTAATAGCCACTTTCCTCTAGGACTTCTTCAATCACAGTCTAAATTTGGGGGAAAAAAAAAAAAGTCAGTATTGAATCAGAAGCAACAACATAAAATTGTGAGAGGTACTGCAAAACCCTCACCTGCATCTGCTCATATGTTATTCCTTCCTCCAAATCAGAGCTGCTGGATAGACCTGAAATAGATAAATTATGGAAAGCCTGACATTTGGTTCACATTTTCTTAGACGTTATTGGCAATTATGGCTGAACTGCAATGAAAATAGGTCAGTTTGTTAATGATGAAGATGAGTACTTGCAAGCAAATTAATTTGGCTCTGAATATCCAAAGTCTGTTTTTCTTCCTTTAATCATTGCCTACTTTTTGGATGGCCATTGCAGAATAATATGCAGAGATTTAGGAATATTGCTTATGGTATAAATTGGCCAAGTAAGTAAGTTAGGGTTATATCTGTGTGTGTATATGTGTGTGTGAGAGAGTGTGTGTGGTGTGAGAGTGTGTGTGTGTTAGGGGCTGATAGGGATGGATTCCAAACACAGCTGCCTGATGGGTGACTTTTCTGATTAAGAAACTCTCTCTAGGCCACAAGACAAAAAGAGTAAATATGCATTAGAAAGAAAAATTCTGAAAGAGGGCAAAAAAGAGACAGTGAAAGACAAGGGTTCCTTCTGTGTGCCTGCCTAGCGGAAATAAATTATACTTAATATGAAAAAACAAGACTTCTTTTGATGGTTCATATGAGTATGGGATACCAGCACCTTAACCCACTCCCACCAAAGCCCACTGCCATTGAGGCAATTCTGACTCACAGCTACTCTATAGGACAGAGAAGTACTGCCCCATGGGGTTTCCATGTCATTGCCATATGGAAGCAGATTGCCACATCTTTCTTCCACCCAACAGGTGGTGGATTCAAACTGCTGAGCTTTCAGTGAACAGCCAAGCACTTTACCACTGTGGCACTAGTGCTCCTATAAGCTACCCCAGCACTGCTCAGAGCCATTTTGACCAGCTTGCACTCAAACCAATCAACACTGACTCAGTTGGAGGACCAGGGGTTCCCCTGACACTTTCGAGACAGAAAAGAGAATGGGGCAAAAATTGAGGGGAAATGTGAAAATGTGAATACAGGCGGCTCACTGTTAAAGCCAAGCTTCTAGTTGTTTCTCCAAAGGGCTGGCAGTCTCTGCTTTCTTTACCTGGGTCCCCCTGCTAAGATAAGGCCCAGCTTGGTCAGTTCTGAGGTGAGGCATCCAGATGCCCTGGGAGGAGTGTCTCACCTCACTGTCAACCTCTGAGAGACTTACATCAGAAGTCTTCATTTCATGGGAGCTGCTATTTTAAGAAATTTGGCCTGAGAACTAATTTACTTGCCCTGGGAGATGCTTTTAAAAGTAAAAGACTTTTGACCACATTTTATCTTTATCTCATGGATTTCTCAGGCACAACTTGAAAAGAAATTGTGCCGAGACAGGTTTGCTTTATCCCAGGAGTCCAAGACTTAGGGAAAGTTTGGTAATTAAGAAATAATGTGATTTGCCTAAATTAGACGACAATGAAAGCACAACAAAAATGAGCACTTTTCCAGGCCATCATAATGACAAGTCTTCCCTTAACTATAAAAGCTTCATTTCCATGCACTCCACTGAGTGACCTAACTATAGACTACAGAGATTCTAAAGTTATTTAGGAACTCTGAAACTTGAGAGTACTCTAAAGCCTCTTCTTAGAGCTCAAATATGGTAATAAGAATTAAAACTAAACTAAACCCCTACTAATAGCCAAATACTTTTCCTATGTTTACACTAATCTTCAGTGTAACCCTCTAATGCAGGTACTATATTTAGCCCTCATTTCATAGGCAAGGAAACTGGGGTTCAGAGAAGTTAAATAACTAGCCCAGAATCAGCTACTAGAAGTTTTAGCTGAGATTTTAATCTAGATATTCCATGTTTCCAGAACTTGCCCCATTAATCTCTATGCTATACTGCCTCCCTAAGTAAAATGGATGTACAAAGAACTGGATGGATGGATGAATGGATGGACGGATGGATGGATGGGTGGACGGACAAACAATTATCTGTTTAATATGGATTCCTTAGGTAAGTTTCAAATTTTCTCCATTGTGAGTATTCAAATGTTTTGCTTCTACTTTTTCTTTCACTGGATGCTTTTGAGCATTTGATTTCCCATCATCAGATGAGCAAGAAGAAACAAAAGGAAATCCAATTCACCCACATATTTTCTGTTGTTACTTATGGTGTTAATAAATGATGAAGGAAACTGCCACACTAGGTAAGATGAATATTGGGGAATTTCTAGATTTTTATCAGATGCCCCTTCCAACTATTGCCATAGATAATGGAAATAGGCTGTATTTTTCTTTTAAATTGAAGATTATCAGGGATAATTGACTGTTGATCCAAACAATGTATTTGAATTTGAAAGCCCAATTTCCCCGCACTGATGGACATTACCTGTTGGGTCATTTGGGGACAGGCTATTTCCACCTGACGAATGACGTAATAAATGGTAATCTGCTGTGAAAAAGTTGGGCTCAATTGGCTCTGGAGATCCCTGAGATAACTAAAACAGAAAAAGCAAAACCACATCTTATTTTAAACTCAGAAACAAATGACATGAGACCTCTGTGCGAAGTTTCTATTTCCCTATGTCACTGTACAGAAAAGTTAGTGCTCTGTGGTTTTCAATTCCTTGTAAATAGACAAAGAAACATCTTCTTCCTTCCAAAATAATGTACAAATTGAAGGCAGCCAAATTACAGCACAAACAAGTTAGATAATTCCCTGGCCACAGGGAAAACAAGCAAACAAAAAACCCCACAACCCTCTATACTTTACAGCTTTACAAGAGCAAAATAAAAATGGATACAAAAATAATGGCATGGGGCCTGGGACATCAAAATGTTATTTTTATCATGTGTAGGAGGAATACACTCCAATTATTCAACAGAACAATATGTTTAGCTCAAATCACAATCTTTTTCATGTATGCTGCTTTGAACAATGCCTTCTTGTATGACCAAGGCTAACTAATTTCTTAATACGTTTTTCTAAATTACTATTAATTAATTTTAATCTCTAAACATTTCTTCCCAATCCTCCATAGTAAAAAGTAATTCACCAAATAGCAGAATTAAGGTACAATTGCTTAATGGCCTTCTTTATAGCTGAATTTTTAAAATGAAATTTTAGGCTATGAATGTTTTTTACCCTCCTTTTACTTTAATTTCAACCAGTATTTGGGCTGGCCAAGTTTTTGTGCCTGAGTTAATATACTTTTAAAATGTTAATATATATTAATAAACCAGAAACATGTGGCACAATTTGGACTATGCAATAGTAGTTTACCTTGTATGCATATACTCTAATTTATGAATTAAAAACACATCATTGTTTAGCTGTGTATAAAGCTCACTCTATGACTCAGCAATCCCACTCCTAGGTATTTATTCAAGTAAATATGTCAATCAAAAGACATGAACAAGGATATCCATAACACGCTTATTCATAATAACTAAAAATCAAAATAAAAATTAGACAGAAAAACAAACACAAAGTTCCATGGACAGACCACTCATCTGTCAATGTGCAGTACTGTGGTGGGTTGTGTATTTCCGTGATGCTGGAAGCTATGCCACCTGTATTTCAAATATCAGCAGGGTCATCCCATTGTGGACAGATATGAGTGGAGCTTCCAGAGTAAGGCAGACTAGGAAGGAGGACCTGGCAATCTACTTCTGAAAAGTCTGGCAAATGAAAATCTTATGAATAGCAGTGAAACACTGTGTGACATAGTGCTGGAAGACAAGCACCTCAAGTTGGAAGGCAGTCAAAATACAACTAGGGAAGAGCTGCTTTCTCAGAGTAGAGATGACCTTAATGACGGAGATGGAGTAAAACTTTTGGGACCTTCATTTGCTGATGTGGTGTGAAATGAGAAGAAACAGCTACAAACATCCATTCATAATCAAAACATGGAGTGTATAAAGTATGAATCTAGGAAAATTGGAAGCTGTCAAAAATGAAATGGAATACATAAAGATCAATATTCTAGGCATTGTTGTTGTTGTTGTTGTTATGTGCCGTCAAGTCGGACCTGACTCATAGCGACCCCTCTTTGGGTTTCTGAGGCAGTATCATTATGGAAGTAGATTGCCCCATCTTCCTTCCGAGGAGTAGACTAGTACTGATTATTATGAAGCAGGCAATCATATGGTTTACTATGCTAGAATGACAAACTGAAGAGGAATGTTCATCATTAAAAACAACATTTCAAGATCTATCTTGAAGTACAATGCTGTCAGTGAAAGGGTTATATCCATACTCCAACAAGGACGACCAGTTAAAAAAACTATTATGCAAATTTATGTACCAACTAAAATGCAAAAGATGAAGAAATTTAAGATTTTTACCAACTTCTGCACCCTGAAATTGATCAAACATGCAGTCAAGATGCATTGATAATGGTGACTGGAATATGAAATTAGAAAGATATAAGAAAGATCAGTAGTTGGAAAATATGGACTTGGCGATAGAAATAATGCCAGAAGTTGCATGATAGAATTTTGCAAGACCAATGGTCTATTAATTGGAAACACCTTTTTTTCAACAATATAAATGGCAGATATACATGTGGACCTTACCGCTTGGAAAACATAGGAGTCAAATTGACTACAGCTGTGGAAAGACATGATGGAGAAGTTCAGTATCAGTCAGAACAAGACGAGGGCTGACCATAGAACAGACTGTCAACTGCTTATATGCAAATTCAAATTTAACCTGAAGAAAATTAATACGCCATGTTTTGGTTCTCCAGTGCCACTCTAACAGGAAATACAAGTGGATGGTTTTAACAAACAGGAATTTATTCTCTTACAGTTTAAGAGTCTAGAATCTAAGTTCAGAATGCCAGCTACAGGGACTAGGTGAAAGGCCCTTGACCTTGGGCTTCAGCTCTGCCTCTTGCTCCCAGCCACTGAAGCTAGAAGCCTCTCTTAACTCAGACAGCTGCTGGCTGCTGAGGCTGCCAAACTCAAGGTCAAAAAGTAAAACACCACAGTCCCAACCAACACACCAAGCCACTAGTTCAAGTCCAGAAACAGTCTCAAGATCAGCAGACAACATGGCAGTCCACTGAGATGAAAACTTGTCCAAACGCAAGATCCAGATGTGCCAAAAAGCTCAGAGACCTTCCTCAAAGCTTCTTCTTATATACTGGAGGCAGACCACATCTCCAAGGCAGCTACTCAGCTGCTCACAGTAGATTCCACTATTGAGTTGATCAGCTCACCATGGGGAATAACTATATCCAGCTGCCCAGCCACTCAAAACAAAGCCCACCCAGGCTGACACATAAGTTTAACTACCACAGTCCTTAAGAGTCAAAGCATAACCTGAGTATTTCCCATTTGAATTTAGAGACTGTTTGAAGAACAGATTTGATGCATTGAAAACTAATGATGCAAGGCAGATTAATTGTGGGATGACATCAAGGACATCATACATGAAGAAAGCAAAAGGTCATTAAGAAGACTGGAAAGAAAGAAAAGACCAAAATGGATATCAGAAGAGACTTTGAAACTTGCACTTGAATATATAGTAGCAAAAGGAAATGGAAAATATGATGAAGTAAAAGAGCTGAACGTAGGACTTCATAGGGCAGCTTGAGAAGATAAAGTAAAGTATCATAATGAAATGTCCAAAGACCTGGAGTTAGAAAACCAAAAAGGGAAGAACATGTTCCACGTTTCTCAAGCTGAAAGAGCTGAAGAAAAAATTCAACAATACAGGAAGCATCAAAAGAAGATGGAAGGAATACCAACAGTCACCGTACTAAAAAGAATTGACCAACGTTCAACTATTTCAGGAGGTAGCATGTGATAAAGAATCAATGATAGTGAAATCCAATCTGCACTGAATGCACTGGAACAAATCAAGTCTCAAGAATTGAAGAAATACCAAATGAGATATTTCAACAAATGGATACAATGGTAGAAGCATTCACTCATCTATGCCAAGAAATTTGGAAGACAGCTACCTGGCCAACTGACTGGAAGAGATCCTTATCTGTACCCATTCCAAAGAAAGATGATCCAATAGAATGAAGAAATTATCGAACAATATCATTAATATCACACACAAGTAAAATTTCACTGAAGATAATTCAAAAATTGTTACAGCAGTATATTGACAGTGAACTTCCAGAAATGCAAGCTGGATTCAGAAGAGGACGTGGGACAAGGGCTATCACTGTTGATGTTAGATGGATCTTGGCTAAAAGCAGAGAATATCAGAAAGATGTTACCTGTGTTTACTGACTATGCAAAGGCATTCAACTGTGTGGAGCATAACAAATTATGGACAACACTGTGAAGAATAGAAATTCAAGGACACTTAACTGTCCTCATGAGGAACCTGTACAAAGAAGCAGTCGTCTGAACAGAAGAAGAGAATATTGGGTGGTTTAAATTACGAAAGGTTTGCATCGTGGTTGTATCCTTTCACAATACTTACTCAGATCTATATGGTGAGCAAACAATTCAAATAGGTGAACTATATGAAGAAGAACATGGCATCAGGATTAGAGGAAGACTCATTAACTATCTGTGATATACAGATGACACAACCTTGATTGTGGAAAGCAAAGAGGATTTGAAGTATGGATTCAATAATCTATACTTAAGTATGCCTTCAGTATGGATTACACCTCAACATAAAGAAAACAAAAATTCTCACAAGTGGACCAATAAGCAACATTTTGATAAATGGAGAAAATATGAAGCTGTCAATAATTACATTTTACCTGGATCCACAATCAATGCCCATGGAAGTAACAGTCAAGAAATCAAATGATGTATCGTATTGGACAAATCTGCTGCAAAAGATGTCAACTGGCAGACTAAGGTGCCCATGACCCAAGCTGCAGTATTTTCAATTGTCATCTGCATGCAAAAACTGGACAATGAATAAGAAAGGTCAAAGAAGAACTGATGCTATTCATTTATGGTGTTGGAAAAGAATATTGAATATACCATGGACTGCCAGAAGAACTTCCAAGACTGTCTTGGAAGAAATATAGACAGAATGCTCCTCGGAAGTGAGGATGGTCAGATTTCATCTGTTGTACTTCGGGCATGTTACCAAGAGGGACCCGTCCCTGAAGAAGGACATCATGCTTGGTAAAGTCGAGGGTCAATAAGAAAGAGGTAGATTCTCACTGAGGTGAATTGACAGTGGCTACAACAATGGGCTCAAACATAGCAATGATTGTGACAATGGCATAAGACTGGGCAGTTTTTCGTTCTGTTGTATATAGGGTTGCTATAAGTTGAAGCCTAACCAGAAGGCTGGCGGTTCAAACCCACCAGCCACTCCTCGGAAGGAAGGTTGGGCAATCCTACTTCCATAGTGATACTGCCTCAGAAACCCAAGGAGGGGTCGCTATGAGTCGGGGCTGACTCGACGGCAAATAACAACAACAACATAAGTTGAAGCCTACTCTACAGCACATAACAACAACAATACCCATCACCCAGCTGAAATATTGCCAATCTTGTATCATTT